AATTTGAATTAAATACAGGGACAACCACACTTGTCCAACTCTTGCATCAAACGCCATCAAAAACTAATGAAACGGGACTGATTCTGAACCTTCCAGGTAGACATAGCATGTTACAGGTGTACTACCGCGTCTGAACAATACTTCCTTTAGGGCGACCGTGGCTCAGGGGGTTAGGGAATCGCATCTGTGACCGGAAGGTCGCCGGTTCGATCCCTGGGCTCTCTGTCCTGGTCGTTGTGTCCCTGGGCAAGACAATTTACCCTACTTGCCTACTGGTGTTGGCCAGAGGGGCCGATGGCGCGATATGGCAGCCTCGCTTCTGTCAGTCTGCCCCAGGGCAGCTGTGGCTACAACTGTAGCTGCCTCCACCAGTGTGTGAATGTGAGAGTGAATGAATAGTGGCATTGTAAAGCGCTTTGGGTGCCTTGAAAAGCGCTATATAAATCCAATCCATCATTATTATTTAATAGAATAAAAGAATACTGTATTCATAAACATACATACAGACAAAAATAGTGTTATTACACAGAAACTGATGCATTCTCATAAATGTATAGTTGATGTATTATTATTATTTTAGCAGAGTGGCTGGGAGGAACAACTCCCTTCTGACTAATGTTGGGGTTTTACACATGTGCCCATCATCAGTCAGAAGTGAGCATCTCTGACTCACTAACTCGTATCAGACTCCATTCACAAACTTCTACTGCCTCCTCCAGAGTAAATAAAGGTGGATGCTTCTCACTCGGGATTGACAGATACTCTGGATTACTGCCATCACACTGATTTTTCTGCCAATACTACAGTTTGGGGTTTGAGTTGGTGTTTAATTATAGCAGAAAAGGTATCGGATGTATTACTGATAGTTGGCTGAAGCCTCACGATGCTTCTGTAATGGAACAGGACGACTTTAGAGGAGATCAACTTGCAGGGAAAAAATCTTTTTATTAATTTGAAATTATTTTCAGTTTTGGTTGGTGTGACCTGCGATGACAGAGGAAGTACTCTTTTTATGCTGGGGTTTATCAATAGTTTATCAATATATTTATATTTGCACACCAATGCTAAATTAGCCAATACTTGAATGGACTCTGGTCTTCTCTTCCTGTGTGTATTCGACATGTTAACAGTTATCAGCTTCTCTGTGAGACAGAAGACGCTCGGGTCCAGAGACACAGTGAGGGTAACCTTGTCTCTGATTGGTCAAATTAACACAACCAGCAAACACAGACACACACACACGGAGAGAGCGAGAGTCTCAGATGTAATAATATCAGTTTCTGTAATGTGATTTATCATTCAGAGAAACACTCAGGGGACAAGAGGACACACAAGGACACGGCATGATGTCATCTGTGCGTGTATGTACAGGCGTGTTATAGCAACAGTGTGGCCTCAGCTCTGATTGGTCAAGTTAACGAGACACAATAAGGACACACACACGCGCGCACACACACACACGCGCGCACGCGCACACACACACACACGCACGCACGCACGCACGCACAGGAAGCTGATGTCATTAGCAAGTCCAGCCTGTAACCTCTTGTTAGTGGCAGTGTGGTCGATTGCTGTGCTCGCTTAGACTCTCCTGAGGTGTTACCTCAGGTCACCTGACCCAGGTGTGTGTCTACAGGTCAGAAACCACTACGGGCTGTTTCCATGGTTACACGTTGGTGGGCTGACACTCCACCATCTCGCTCAACTGCCTGATAAAATCCTGCTGCGTAGTTTCTGTCTGCTGGTGCTGAGAGTGATGTGAGATGGACAGTGAGAGTCCACCTGTTGGAGGTTAATCCAGCCGTGAGCTCAGCTTTGAAGGCAGCACGTCCTCTTGCAGCAGGCCATAGGGACGTGAACTTTGGATGAGTCACATGACTTCATCTTTCAACAGCCAAACTCTGGGAAAACTGGGAATGGTCATGATTTACTTTGATAGATAACAGTTTATGACTGATTTTACTGGCACACGGGCACCTGGTGGGATATAATGAGCAACTACAGCCAGAAGGTTGGGGTAATGCACCCTTAAGCTAAAACTGAAGGAAGCCCGCAGCTATGGGCATCGAAGCAGGAAAGCAAACAGGAAAAATATGTAAATTGTGCGATCAGCTGAGCACACCATCCGCTCTGAGCTCCCTGACCTGCACTCAATCTACAGCAGGCGGTGCTGGACCAAGGCCAGGAAGATGGTGAAGGACCTCAGCCATCCCAACAACAGACTGTTCTCTCTGCTGAGGTCAGGAAAGCGATTCCGCTCCCTGAAGACCAACACAGAGAGACTGAGGAGGAGCTTCTTCCCGCAGGCGATACGGTCTCTCAATCACACCACCACACAGTACTGACCCACACATATGGTTCTTACACACACACTGGACTTTCTGGACTTTGTTTTTGCACAACACTGGTCACTATATTCTTCATTTCCGGTTAATACTTGTACAGCTGCTGTTATTGTGTATATATTTATTTATATTTCTTCATACATTCTTATATAGTTCTATATTGTGTATTTTGTTGTACAGTTATTTTATTTTCAACTTTAATTTATATATTTTATCTTATTCTCCCAGTTAAATTTACCCTTCATTCTAATTTGTGTTGTACAGTTATTTCATTTTTAACCTTAATTTATATTTTATTCCTTCCTAGTTAAATTTACCCTTTTTAATTTTTCATATTTATTTCCTATCTTATTCATAGCCTTTTCTTTTTGTTTTCTTTAGGTCACGAGCAGTTGTCCAAGCATTTCACTGCATATCGTACTGTGTATGACTGTGTACGTGACAAATAAAATTTGAATTAATAAGGGACAACCACACTTGTCCAACTCTTGCATCAAACGCCATCAAAAACTAATGAAACGGGACTGATTCTGAACCTTCCAGGTAGACATAGCATGTTACAGGTGTACTACCGCGTCTGAACAATACTTCCTTTAGGGCGACCGTGGCTCAGGGGGTTGGGAATCGCATCTGTAACCGGAAGGTCGCTGGTTCGATCCCTGGGCTCTCTGTCCTGGTCGTTGTGTCCTTGGGCAAGACACTTTACCCTACTTGCCTACTGGTGTTGGCCAGAGGGGCCGATGGCGCGATATGGCAGCCTCGCTTCTGTCAGTCTGCCCCAGGGCAGCTGTGGCTACAACTGTAGCTGCCTCCACCAGTGTGTGAATGTGAGAGTGAATGAATAGTGGCATTGTAAAGCGCTTTGGGTGCCTTGAAAAGCGCTATATAAATCCAATCCATTATTATTATTCCTGGTTTAATTTGGCTCAGCTATCCTTCACGGACATCTCCCTGCAGTCCTGTTTTGGCCACTCGTATGCTCTCCTCCACAGAGCCAAACCTTCCAGCCCAGCCTTCCAACCTTCGCAGAAGTTAGCATGATCAGATTTAATATGTGGGTAAATTTTTTTGTCTTTGACTCACTGATGTTGTCTCTGTCGCTCTTCTCTCCCCTGTTGAACATGTAGAAGAAACACACTTCCACCTGTATACTGAGAGAGTCGGGCTGTTAGCATGTTATCGTGTGAAAACACCTCCGTACTGAGGGTCTGTGAGCATGTTAGCTGATGGTAGCTTTGAATCTCACCAGAAGTCACAGCTGTTCGGGTCCACGATGGTCGGAGAAACTTTGAGTGTTTTATTTAAATGGATGACCGGTCGACTCCTGAGGATCAACATATCAGTCCATTAATAAATGCATAAATTTAGTTATTCTTGAGCTCTTAATTAGCAGTAAGTGCTAATGTTCAGTACTTTGAGGACTTCAAAATGTACTTTAGATGAGCACTATTTAGCGCAGAAGTTGGTACCTGAACAGAACAACGGTATCATCGAGAGAACCAACCAGCAGGTCCGGGTAATAGTTCCTATCAACATCCCCGCCTGCAGAAAGGGAGTAGCCAAAAGTCCCGAAAACAGGGGAGACCGTGCTGCCTCGGATCACCTGTACAGAGGAGGAGGCGGGGTCACAGGTGTGTCTGCACACCAATTTAAAAACCATCACTGTCAAAACTTGTCTGGCCCGTGAGGACACGTCTGCACTCTGATGGTTCAGAGTTGGTTTGAAAGTTGTGTCCTGGGAATGTGGGTCAAACATAGAAAGGACCGTGTTTTTGTGAGACCTGGCTCGGCTCTGTAGAGATGCCCTCACTGCTTCCTGTCCAGATCATCACACTTCCTGCTTCATGAAAAGGAGCTCCGATGGCAAAGTCTGGAACAACCAAAGACCCGTCACCATGACTACTGATTACTGATCACGAAAACACCAGCATCACGTTGAGCCCTCACCCTGGAAGCCGTCCTGGTTGAGGTCTCCTGCAGCGGCCACAGCCATGCCGAATGCCGACCCCGCCGGCCCCTTCAGCACTACGCTGGGCTCAGAATTGAACCTCCCTCCTACGTTCACGTAGACATAAACTGCCCCGCCCACCTCCGTCTGACGGTGGAAATAAAAAGGAGCGCCCACCAGCAGGTCGTTCCACCTGTGGGACAAAAAAGCAGCTCAGTGAGTGTTCCTGAAACATGTTCCTCAGGTTTAGATTATGGTGCTCTGTGGTTCCCACTGAGTCGTTGCCATCAGAAGATTTTACTAAAGGTACTGACCGTGTTGCCTCAGTGCGGGTCATGTGACCCATAAACCATTCCTCACCCGTCATTATTGAGGTCAGTAACTGCCAAGGCGTTCCCAAAATACGAGCCCATCTGTTGACCGCGCAGCTTCTGGCGAATCATCAGTTTATCAGAGCGCTTGACGGCCAGCAGCACCGAGCCATGAGCGTCTTCCATACGGTCCCGAGGAGCTCCTATTCAACAACACACCAATCAACACATCTATCAGTAAATCTACAGGTCAACCAGCTGTTTCCTGATTAGCTGAAAAGTCTTCACCTGTTACGATGGTTTCATCATCCTCAGAGAGAAGGCGAGGAGCCTGAGCGACAGAATATCCTGCACAAATACACGTTTTACATTCAGCTTCAATTCTTTAAATGTAGGAAAGGTTCCCATTAAAAGCATACATGTCTGAACATTCATTGAAACTTCAAAATAAAAGCAGCTGAATTCTGTGACACACAGACAGGTGGACACATGCGAGACCGATGGAGGACTGATCCAGAGGAGACCTGCTTCATTAAAATAAGTCTGCCACGTAAAACAATAACACAAAGCACGATTCAGATCCTGACTGATCCGCACGTCAAAGTACCGGCTGCTCATCCACATACGTAACTCTGCACTTAGCTTGTGAGGCTGCAGGTATTTATTCAAGTCAAAGGAAAGAGCCGGACTCACAGCCACCTGTGGCGACAAATACTTCCTGCAGAAACCAGAATTACACTTTTTGAACGATATGAAAGCCGGTTTGACGCGTGCGTTTCTGAATGAAGACACACAAACAGAGAGTTTTCACTATGGACTCTTTTCTGCGTCAGCGTGTGACTAAAAACCTGAAACACTGCTCACAGTAAGCTAAGCCTGATGAGAGCTTCTGCTCTGTGTTGAGGAACATTAGCATTTCTACAGGACACCGTCCCTCTGCTCCACCCTCATTAAATCATTGTCTCAAACCGCATGTGCTCATTGCAAACCTTATTTAGGCACATTCATGTAGCTGATTTAAATACTGTCCTGCCCTGAGGAGGACACGTGTGACCGAGCTCAGATCTGAATGAGCTATTTAAAGAGACGGCGCACCGATGTAGATGTTCCTGTGCTTCTGGTTGGAGAAGGAGCTCTTCTTGGTGTCAAACTCATCGTCAGGGTTCATCCAGGAGACTTGGACGTTTCCTACAACACACACACCATGAACTGCATTAGATGCTCACAGAGCTGAGATGCTCGCTCTGAAAAGGAAGAAAAACATCAGAATAGAATAGAATCACCTTGCCATTCGAAGCTTCCAGGTGAGCCAACAATGACTTCGCTTTGAGTGATGGCCGATGACATCCCCATCCCGCACATGACCTCACCAGTGAAATCACCCAGATGACTGAATACAGACAGGCAGCAGGTGAGGAGGCGGAGCATCACTCATCACCTGTAGTGTGCAGTCATGTGACATACCTGCAGGACTGTTCGGGGTCCTGCCAATTAGAGTCGTTCTCGTCGTACCGCAGGTCGTTTCCACGGAGATAACAGCGGCCAATCATTTGCCTTAAATTGAACGCTCCATAGAGTTTTGTGAAGCGGTGACCGCATGCCTGCAGAGCAAACACGCCGTTCTTTAACTTCTCACCAATAGGAAAATAATCAGCCAATCAGAGCACAAACTCACCAGGACACGCCCCCCAGGCCGGCCCTGACTGGCTACTGAGACGCCCAACCACATGTCCTCGACCAGTTCATCAGCATGGATCTTGGCTGAAACACATCACAGGTGAGTCACAGACTGTAGGCTCCGCCCACTGACGGGGTAAAGGTAAAAAAATAAACTTTTGTGTGATTTATTCCACTGACTCTAACCCCATACGACCTGTGCTGCAAATATGTTGTCCAGCAGCTGACAGAGCAGGTGCTATCCTGCACACCTGAGCTGCAGCAGTATGACAGCACAGCTCACCTGGACCTGTCACACAGGTGTCACATACCCGCTGGCTAACCTCAGCCGGGAGAGTCAGCTCAGATCAGTGAGTCGCTGATTCATGACAGTTTCTCTCCATATAAACACTGTGTGTGTGTGTGTGTGTGTGTGTGTGTGTGTGTGTGTGTGTGTGTGTGTGTTGCTGTTGTTGTGTTTGAGCAGCCGATA